CCAAACCAAAGATCCCCATGGCAAATTGCTCCTTCACATCACATCAAGATCTAGAGACATTCATCCATGCATCATGCCCATGCACGAATACCCCACAGATGTGCACACATTGCTACACATGTTCATTCATACAAAGCATTTGTGAACTGACGAATGGCCCAAGCGTACCTCATATGCATGCACGTTATCCATGCCCTTAGCTGTCAGATAGTCCACTGCTGCTCCCAACCCTATGGCCTCCGCAATGGCTGGCGTGCCGGCTTCGAACCTGGAGAGCAAGAGAGGGGAGGGCAGGGAGGATAAGATGTGCGAGTTAAAACACTGGTCACATGTTAACTATATGGCATTAGCAATGGCTGCACCCCCAGCTTCGAATATGGGAGGGGGGAAAGGGAGGATGCGTTACCTGTAAAACCAGTCACAATCACCCCTGTGGCATCTCCAATGACTGGAATGGCATATTTGTAGCTAGGAAAGCGAGAGAGAGAGGGCAAGTACTGGGAGAATGGGGCAGCGGCGAGGGCAGTAAGTGGGGAAGTAACGACCAGAGGTGGGGAGCAGCTAGAGAGGATGAGAGATGTGGTGGCAGGTCCTGTTTTAGAGGCGCCTCAACAAAAGACAGGAAGGGCGTACCTTGCAGAGGGGGATCGGAGTAGGTGGAATGGTCCAGGTACACGTCCTGAATCATCTCGCCTCCTCCTGGGCGGATCAGCGCGAGTGAATTCTGTTTTGAGCGCCTCAAAAGCAGACAGGAAGGGCGTACCTTGCGGGGGGATCGGAGTAGGTGGAATGGTCCAAAAAGACGTCCTGAATCATCTCGCCTCCTCCTGACGACAAAAGAATCACAGAAACAATCGGGCCAGTCGAATTTATTGGAGAGAGAGAGGTAAGAACGGGCCGAAGGGGGGGTAGTAGAAGGGAGGTGAAAGGTGAGACGAAAGAGACAGATAGGGGGCAAATAGGGAACTACAGCAAGTCCAGCCCCTGATTTTTGTAGCCCAATAAGTAAGGGATGTTTATTTCTTTGTAAAGCTATCCAAATGTGGTCAGCTGAGTGGAACCTAACCCCTGCACGCTCATGTCATGAAGGGACGCGGATACCCTTGAGGGCACGTGCCTACCCATAAAGGGCGGCATGGAGGCGAGCACATCGGATCGGCCATAGAGGAATCAAATGCCCGTGGGACAACACATCTTGTGCGAGGAGACCGCTGCAAAAATTGAGACGCCTCATAAGGGCACACTCTTACCCGTGAAGGGACGCATGGAGGCGAGCACGGCGGATCGGCCATAGAGGAATTCAATGCCCGTGGGGCCAGCCACCTTGTGGGAGGAGACCGCTGCGAAGATTTGGGACGCCTCATAAGGGCACACGCTTACCCATGAAGGGAGGCATGGAGGCAAGCACATCGGATCGGCCATAGAGGAAGCCAATGCCCGTGGGGCCAGCCATCTTGTGGGAGGAGACCGCTGCGAAGATTTGGGACGCCTCATAAGGGCACACGCTTACCCATGAAGGGAGGCATGGAGGCAAGCACATCGGATCGGCCATAGAGGAAGCCAATGCCCGTGGGGCCAGCCATCTTGTGCGAGGAGACTGCTGCAAAGTCCACCCCCAGCTGCTGCACGTCCACGGGCATGTGTGGCACGGACTGGCACGCGTCTAGAAGCACCTTGGCGCCCACTGCATGCGCCCTTTCTCTGATCTGCCCCACTGGGGACTCGGAGCCTGAAGGATGGGGGTAAGAAAAGGGAGGGTGGGTGGGTAAGAGGCAACAAAGAAGTCACACTCTCCAGCTGCTGCACGTCCACGGGCATCTGTGGCACAGACTGGCACGCGTCTAGCAGCACCCAAATGTGAAAGGTGAGCCCCCAACTGCTAACTCAGTGAGTGACTCACTCAGCATGTTTGGTATGACACATGATATGCCACATGGTATGCCACATCGTGCGACACAGGGTGCGCTTGGCTTGGCACCCATTGAAACCACGACTCACCCAGCACGTTGGAAACATGGTGCACGGCCCCTCCTCCTCAAATGACTTTTGAGTCGACTCAAAACTCACCCAGCACGTTGGAAACATGGTGCACGGCCACGAGCTTGGTCCGCCCGCCAATCATCTCCAGCAGTCGCTCATAGTCCACCTCCGCGCCCTCCGCATGCCCCTCCCTCTCCGCCTCCTCTGGCACTTTCAGGGGCGCAAACTTCAAAACCGCCCCGGTTTTCTGGGCTACAATCTGCCAGGGGACGATGTTGCTGTGGTGCTCCGCGACCGTGAGGAGCACCTCGTCGCCCGGGGCGAGGTTGGAGAGGCCCCACGAGTACGCCACGAGGTTGATTGCCTCGCTGGCGTTGCGCGTGAACACGATCTCCGAGGGGCCCTGCGCTGTGTTGATGAACCGCGCTACCTTCTCCCGTGCCTTCTCGTACTCCTCTGTTGCCAGCATGCTGCGGAGAGGGGTGGGTGGGTGTGGGAGGAGGGGGAGAGGTGAGTGCAACGTACATGTAGAGGTGATCTCCGACGGGCCCTGCGCTGTGTTGATGAACCGAGCCACCTTCTCGCGTGCCTTCTCGTACTCCTCTGTTGCCAACATGCTGGGGAGAGGGGTGGGTGTGGGAGGAGGGGGAGAGGAGAGTGCAACGTCACGTTGGGAGAGGAGAGTAGAGGCGATCTTGGACAGGCCCTGGCCCTGCATTCTCATACTTCTCTTTTGCTATCACGCTGTGGAAAGAAGGGGTGGGTGTGGAGGGAAGGGGCGAGAGGAGTGGGGATCGCAGAAGGGCCCTGGGCCGGCCAGGTTGATGAAGCGAGCGGGCTGCTTTCTCCCGTGCCTTCACACACTCTTCTGTGGCCCGCATGTTCTGCCAGGAGGAGACGGGAGGACGAGAGAGGTGAGGCGCTTTGGAAGGAGGGAAAGGGGTAAGAAACGAAGGTGAGTGAAGTGGATGGAACGAAAATGTTTTCCTTCACAAAAAGGTGAGAAGAATTTTAAAGGGTGCTGATTGTTGATGCATGCACTCACAGCAGGGTGTTACATTCGCGTCTTAAGCTCATCAGGTAGTGCACTTGCAATGCAAATTATCATCGTATCATTGGTAGGTGGCAGTCAGCCCATCTAATCACTTGCATGCTTACATAGGTTACAGGCCACGCACACAAGCTCAAATACACCATGTAAGCTCACCTACCTGAGACAGTGTAAATTCCAATAATGCTCCTTGGCTTTGTTTCGTTTGTTCCAGTCATCATGGCGGTGTTGATTCCATGCATGCTTATACGCGCTACAAGCTCACCTGAGATAGTGCACACCGCGGTGCACATTGGCATTGTAGCGCCGGTAATAGTCATCCATGGCGTTGATCACTTGCAGTGGCTTCTGCGAAGTTGCTGCGCTGTCTATATACACCAATGGCTGGCCGCCTGGCACCTCCTGATGCAATGAAAGAAGGCAAGTGAGTAGAATGACGACGAGATACATTGAATAATTCAGTTATAACAAGCCACGGCAATCACTTATCAACGGCATGGATGTACGCTTCACAGATGAATGAATTCACATTCAAACGAGAACGACGAACTTCAGCAACGTATGATGCTAATTGTGAGGTTAAACTATGTAAGCCAACACGGCTAAGTTCTCTCCAGTCGTCTCACAATTCGGGATGTTAAGACGTTCAAAATTACCTGATGCAAAATCGGGAAGTCTTCGCGAATCGCCTTCCCTAGCCCCGTCGCATCGGCCGTCGACGCACTCGCATCCGTTGTTTCACGCGCTGACACCGACGCCTCGACGGCCCTTCGCTCAACGGCTCTTTGCAACCCGTTAGGGCTGCAACCGCTGCCGCCGCTAACGGCGAGGCGCCTCAAGCCATTGAATGAAATTAGGTTGGGTGAGAAGGAGGTTCGGAATGCCTTAGCTGCTGAGGCTACTGGTCTTGCTGGTGTCATTGCTGACGTGGCATGTTGAAGAGGTAGACGAGCAGAAGGAGAACTGATGAGAGCCATGCTAGGAAGACGAGCGATGGTGGATAAGTAGCGCGTGAGACGATACACAGGAACGGTATTGGAAAAAGGAGAACTGGCAGTCGATACGCTTATTCTGGGGCCAGGACAATCCTCGTAGCCTGCAAAGCAGAGTGGCGTGGATCGGACGCGAACAAGGCGAAGTGGCAGAAGCGAGATAGAAATCAGCCCAGTTCCGCGTTTCAGAAAGTGGCAAATGCGAGTGTGTGTGTGTGAATGAATTTGCGTGTGTACATGTATACGCTTTGCCGGAGGAGGTAGAAAGAGGCGAATAGAAGAGCTGGAGCAGGCGAATCAGGTCAGCGCATGGCTGTGAGTGAGTGGCCGCCTCGATTCCTCCTCCACCTGACATGCACTCACCAGCGCTGACGTGGCAGAGAAAGGGCCTTCGACCAAGTTCAAGGAACCATGCTTTTGATCGGAAGTGGACAGTCTGGTAAAGTAAACTTCGTTACGGTATTGTGACTGATTTTCGAATAGAAAATTTAAAAGGTATGCGCTTATACCAGTGGATATCATAGAGGCCACATCCGGCCTGCTCCTATACCTGGGGTCTCATGGTATGCCACATTGTTCTACAAGTACTGGTGGGTGCCTCAGTGCAGGCGTCAATTGATAATACCGGTACGCATTGTCAGGGAGCAAAAGAAGAGGGGACGCTTGCAAAGCACAATACATGAATGTGGCAAGATGGTTACTGTTGTAACACAGTCTGGTACTGGGTTATCAAGTGTGATAGAAACATAGCAGCCCGATGGTCTCAATATACTTAGCTTCAAGCACAAGCTCAAGCTTAAGCAAAAGCTGAACCTGAAGCTGAAGCACAAGCACAAACTCAAGCTCCAGCTCAATCTTAAAGTCAAGCTCAAGCTCAAGCTCAATCATTATTCACAAACCATGTTCAGAAGCATATGCCAGTTAGTACCAATCCTTTGCAGAGAATGCATTCGTCCCATCTCAGCCACTCCTGAGCGCTACTCTAGAGCAAGGAAAACCTCACGAAGGCATGGGAACGTGTCACTGATCAGTGGGATCTGCCCCAACTCTGAGATGGCGGCTGTGAAGTCTGCGGGAGTTGGTGAGAGGAGTGCCTCCCAGTCAACCTGTGTTCAAAACAGGAGAGGAGAGGCATGTGAAGGGACAGCAGGTTAGCAAGCACTTGTGCCTCCCTTGCTTTCACATACGCCAGTCTTGTCTCAACCATTATACCACTCTTGCCCACTTGCACACTGCTTCTCCCCCCATTCTCATCTTCTTTGTGTCTCTTTCTACTGTCAACCCGCCTACCACCAGCCTCCCTGGCTATCCACATGCCCTCTGCTCACCTGCACGCCCGGAGGGATGGCGGTGGTGACTTGCAGGTCCATGGACAGTAGCAGAGCGAGCGTTACCACGTAACCCGTGCCCGACGTGCCTCGCGACAAGGGCTGGAAGTTGTACCTGGCGTGGTGAAGTGTGGTGTGGTGTGGTATGGTTTCAGTGAAAATTAAGATTTGGGAGGTTTGGGTGAGTGCAGAAGCACAGGCTGAACACATACACACAGTAATGTAAACAGCCAGGAAAACAAAACGGTCTATGTGTTTCTGTGATGTGATGTGCAGATGCGCCTGTGCATATAGTGGTCTGAAGTTGGTCGTGAATAGGGGACAGGGGAGAAGGAGCAGGGACCCAGTAGTCAGCCCCAGCAGTAATAGGCAACAGTTTCTTCATGCTTCACATGAGCATACCAGCAGTAGGCCATGCGACGATGCTCTACCATACCCTCCAGTAGCAGCACATACCAGTAGTAGGCAGTATTTGAATGCTGCACTTGAACATACCAGTGGTATGCCAGTAGCAGCACATACCAGTAGCAGCACATACCAGTAGCAGCACATACCAGTAGCAGCACATACCAGTAGTAGGCCATTCTCAGTACGCTGTCCTGCACGGCCTTGCGGTAGGCCGGGAGGTCAGAGTCGCGGAGAGACGTGTTGGCCACTGCCAGGCGGATGGCCTGATGATGGGAGAGGGTGGGTTGGACAAGGGGCGTGAGGGGAGCAGAGCGTCAGAGCGGGCGTGAGGGAAGCAGGGCAGTAGAGAGGGATGGGAGCGCAGCGTGAGGGATGTAAGAGCAGTGAAGTGAGGTGGGAGAAGGAGATGGGATCGGGGAGAATGAGGAGATTCAGACAAGCACGAATGAGCGCGCATGCGGTGATGAGTCTGTATGAGCACTTGCTCGCACTCACCTGCCATGCAGCGTCCATCTCCCTCTCATACTCCCTCCACTGCTCCGGCTTGAGCATGAGCTCGATTGCTAGCTCGGGCTCGGGTGGGCTGGCGAGGAAGAAGGACGGAGTATGTGTGTGTGTGAGCACTTGCTCTCACTCACCTGCCGATTTTTGAGGCGCCTCAAAAATGCTGTGGTGAGTATATATGTGTGAGCACTTGCTCTCACGGTCTCACCTGCCATGCAGCGTCCATCTCCCTCTCATACTCCCTCCACCGCTCCGGCTTGAGCATGAGCTCGATTGCTAGCTCGGGCTCGGGCGAGCTGCAGGGGACAGCGCGTGAAGAGGAGGAAGGGGGTTGGAGGGAGGGGAGGGGGGAGAGGAGATAGCGATGGGGCTTGAGCATGAGCTCGATTGCTAACTCAGGCTCGGGCGAGCTGCACGGGACAGGCGAGGAGGAAGGAGGTTGGCGGGAGTGGGAGGGGGAGTGGGGGAGACGAGGATGGATTGGAGGATGGGGCTTTAGCATGAGCTTGATTGCTAGCTCGGGGTCGGTGACTTTCGAGTCGACCCAAAAGTCAGCTGCAGGGGACAGGCGAGGAGGAAGGAGGTTGGAGGGAGGGGTAGACGAGAGATGAGATAAGGAAAGGGGCTTGAGCATGTGTTTTGAGACGTCTCAAAACACCTCTTCAAACAAGGGGTAGACGAGAGATGAGATAAGGAAAGGGGCTTGAGCATGAGGTCTATTGCTAGCTCGGGGTCGGGCAAGCTGGCAAGGGGGAAGGAAGGAGGCACAGACAGGGAAAGGAAGGAGGGGGCGGGGTAGGAGGGGTAGGATTGTGAAGGAAATTGAGCATGAGCTTGGTGGCGAGCTGGGGGTTGGGGGAAGCGGAAAGGGATGAGGTTGGGGCGGATGGGGAAGGTGTGAAGAGGCAAGAGGTGCAGTGAGATGTGGGGATGGAGGGAGGGAGGAGGTGTGCATGGGAGAGATTGTTGAGAAGAGGGGAGATGGTTGGGTAGGGGAGGGGAGTGAGTGTTGTGAGAGGGATGTGAGAGATGCGATGGTGGTGAGAACGAGGCTAGTATCGAGGTATAAGGCTTATGAGTGAAGCTTAAATTGATGGGTATGGAATGGGATCACGTCAAGCTTACTCAGAATTAGGAAATACTGATATTCTTGTGCCTTCAATAAGCTTCCTGCACACATAACACGAATATTCATAGATGTCAGCAAGAATCACTCACACATACCCACACGAGAGAACGTTAACCATCACAAGAGCAGGCTTGTACGGGCCCGCAAGCAGAAATGCACACACAGAGGAAAACAGAGACCCAAACCTGTGCAACGGAAAGGGCTTTAAAGCAACTCAAACGCTGCACGTGCTAAAAGGCAAGGCACTACGAAACTCCAGCAGGGATCATGGCTGCAAGCACGGAGGTCAGTGCGCACCCGGGCTGTGCGGAGCTGGGGATGAGCAGTGGGGTGTAGAAGGAGGGTTGCCCGACTGGCGCGGCTAGCTGCGTGTGGGTGCTGGCCTTTTGCGCCTGGTGTGGGATGGGATGGATGGGACGCGGTGCAAGCACGGAGGTCGGTGCGCACCCGGGCTGTGCGGAGCTGGGGATGAGCAGTGGGGTGTAGAAGGAGGGTTGGCCGACTGCTGCGACTAGCTGCGTGTGGGTGCTGGCCTTGCGCGCCTGGTGTGGGATGGGATGGGATGAACGGGATGCGGTGAAGGGTGGGGTGAAATAGTTTGCTTGATAAACGTAAAGCAGGCATGAGCATACTTGAAGCTTCAAGAGTGCAGAGTGTCCTTGAGTCTGCCAGTGCTCATGCACCTTTCTGAGCCCTGTCTTGGAGAGTGGAATCTCTACAAGCCCATCCTGCGCCTTCACCCAGTTATGATGAGATGTCTCAAGTTTTCAGTTGTGAGGCATGAGCTGTGAGACGAGTCAAAACGCAGCCATGCTCACAGACCTCTCTGAGCACGGCCTTGGAGAGTGGAACCTCCACCAGCCCATCCTGCGTGATTGGAGTTGACTCGAATGAGTCGTGCTTTTGAGTTGACTTAAAACACGTCTGCAGTGCTGACGTACCTTTCTGAGAATGGCCTTGGTGAGTGGAACCTCCACAAGCCCATCCTGCGCCTTCACCACTCCTCTCTCCAGCAGCAGCTGCTTCAGAATCACAAACGCCCTGATGCACGCACAGGCACACACAGACACTCACGCATATGCATTTACAGATGATAAATCGGCTCTTGGCATCAGAGCGTTCGGGATTCTGCAGCAGCTGCTGCACATGTGCAACTCCACCAGTCACTCCCTACAGTCACACCTACATCCCTTAGACATATATGCTGGATGTCTCAAAAAACAGGCATATACGCTGATTTTGAAACACTGATTTCTTAGGAGATGTTAGCCCGCTGTACCTGTCCGCGTATGCGCCATACTTTTGAGGCGCCTCAAGACACGTTAGCCCACTGTACCTGTCGGCGTATGCGCCGTATTTGAAGTTGAGTGATTGGCCGTATGAGATGGGGGTGCTGGAGATGACGCCCTTGTTGAACCCCCTCTCTCTGCCACTCACCCACCGCACCCCAGCACACCCACGGAGGACGTCACAGTCAAGAAGGACGTCACAGTCAAGAAGGACGTCACAGTCAAGAAGGATTGCACATTGGGAAAAAGCACTGGCTGAAGCCGAAGCGATTTGTTAGCGCACAATTAGAGAGGTAAAGTTCTCAGGTGTTAGGTTGTTACTCTCTGCACTGAGTCAGCAGCACGAGCATATGTTGGTTAGTTGATCAGCAAATTACTCACGTGTATCGGTCGGACCACATCACTTTATCCGTTGGTTCCGCTACCTGCCGCCACGTGGCAGCCATGGAGTACACGTCACGCCACGTCAGCGCCACGTCAGCGCCGCTGCTGGCACTGGCTGGGCGAGACGTTGAGGCGAGGAGGCGGGCCCACTCGTGCCTCAGAGTCTGCATGATCGCCAGCATGGCTAGCCCCGCCGCCCTTTGCTGTGTGCATTGCATTTGGTGCAATGGGGATACAATGAGGTAATTGGTGTGATTGGAGAGGGGAGTGGGTGAGTGTTTGAATGGAGCCCACTCGTGCCTGAGTGCGTGCATGATCGCCAGCATGGCTAGCCCCGCCGCCCTTTGCTGTGTGCATTGCTTTTGATGCAATGGGGATACAATGAGATGATTGGTATGATTGGAGAGGGGAGTGGGTGAGGGTCTGAATGGGACCAACTCGCCTCTTCATGGTGAGTTTTTGCAAATCCACATGCACATGGCCATAAGGACTGGTGAGTGGGTGCAAAAACTCACCATGAAGAGACTGGATCTTCTTAGGACCTCACCCACCCCCACCCCTCACCTGGCGCCTGTTATTGAGGAAGCCAGCGCAGTGGTACTGAATCAGCCCGCCCAGCCGGTCCGCCCAATCAACAGCCTCCACATGGGCAGCACCCAGCCTTGTTCCCTCCGCCTCCCCTCTACAGCTGCTCCCGTTGGCCCCCCGAGCATCTAGAGGCGGCAAAGCCGTGGGCTCGTAGCCTGCCTGCAGCAGGGCATCTGGTGGATAGCGGTACGTCCAGCTCTCCTGGTGAGGGGATGGTGGAATCAGGAGTGGGGAGGGCAGTGAGGAGAGGAGTTGGGAGACCGAGGCAATGACAGAAACATAAAGGCCGTGGGCTTGTATCCTGCCTGCAGCAGCGCATCTGGTGGATAGGAGTGGGGAGGGCAGCGAGGAGAGGACTTGGGAGACCGAGGCAATGACAGAAAGGCCGTGGGCGTGGGCTCGTAGCCTGCCTGCAGCAGGGCATCTGGTGGATAGCGGTACGTCCAGCTCTCCTGGTGAGGGGGTTGGTAGAGGAGAGAGGAGAGGGGAAACGGGGAGAGGAGTGGGGAGAGGCCGTGAGTTTGTCGCGTTTAGATTTTGGCTGGAAAAGCCTTATCGAGGCGAGGCAGTGGTGCCTAAAGAGGAGGGGAGTGAGTTGAATAATATAGAGTCAACCTGAAGCTATTCCTGTTAGAGTCACCTTGAAGAGAGGAAGGAAGTGGTCATCGATGCTGAATCGGTCCAAAGGCTGCTCCATGCATGCTGCCATGTACTGAGGTTATTCTTGAGACGTCTCAAAAACAACCTGAAGCTGTTCTTGTTAGAGTCACCTTGAAGAGAGGAAGGAAGTGGTCATCGATGCTGAATCGGTCCAAAGGCTGCTCCATGCATGCTGCCATGTAGATTGCCACCTCCCTCTGTGATTCATGTGATGTGATGCATGCATGCAGCATGCATGAGGTGCACGCAGGGAGACATGCAGGGAGACAGGGGCCAAGCTGAATTGGTCCAAAGGCTGCTCCATGCATGCTGCCATGTAGATTGCCACCTCCCTCTGTCATGTGATCCATGCAGGTGCACGCAGGGAAATATGGAGCATTGGTGCAGGCAGGGAGGCATGGCGCATGGGGTGCAGGGAGTTAGACATGGCGTATGGGGTGCAGGGAGTTGGACATGGCGTACGGGGTGCAGGGAGTTAGACATGTACAAACCCATGCAGCAGGCATGAGTCAGCGGACATGCTCTCCTTGCTGCAGCAATCTCACAGAACAAAAACCCTATCTCATTTGCTGGCTCCTCCTCATACAATCACACCTGGTAGAATGCCATGTCATGGCTCTGGCGCTCGCTGTAGTCACGTGGCTGCATCTTAAGCACGTGATTGTACGCGTCCACCTGCCACCACCACCACAACCAGGCAGATATGTTTGTCAAAATTGCTGAGGGGATACACTAGGTTACCTTTGTAAACTGTGACTAAAGCCTAAAGGGAAGATGAACTGAGTAATACTGCTAAACCATGTCCAAGCCTTGAGGTGTCTGAAAGGAGGCATGGCAGCCCTGCAACAAAGTAATGCTCTATGTCAGACGCCAGAGTCAAGGGTAGACTGGAAGAGCCTCAAAAGCAAGGTGACGTTTGAGTCGACTCAAAAGTCGTCTGAAAGGTGGCATGGCAGCCCAAGGCATGGCGTCTAAACCAACAAAGTAATGCTATGTCAGACGCCAGAGTCAAGGCTAGCCTGAAAGATTCTCAAAAGCATCAGCCAGAGCGGGTGCGGTTGGCTTGGATTCAACGTGCTGATCCGATCAACTGCTCGACTCACAGCTTTGGGAAAGACGGCCAAGGAGTGGTGCGATGATGCCAACCAATAGTGCAGCTCCACGTTAGTGGGGTGGTAGGGGATGTACTTCGAGAGTAGACTGATCACCTCCCTGGCTTGCAGCATAGGATTGACAGAGAGACACAAAGAGCGATACAAGAAATGATTGACACAATCCGCGGCACAATCAGCAACGCAACCAGCAGTGCGAAAGTGGCATGGGTAGCACAACCAGCAACGCAACCAGCAGTGCGAGAGCGGCATGGGTAGCACAACCAGCAACATGTTACAAATAACCGCATGACACCTCGACGGCTCACAAGCACGTGCCTCTTCTACCCATCTGAACCGCTCTGCACCCACCTGTGCCTGCCGGTGGATTGCAGCAGCTTCACCCAGGAGTGCAGCGTGGGCATATCACTAAAGTACCATGCGTTGACGGGGGGGAGGGAGGGAGGGAAGGCGCATCAGTGCACAGCACACAAGGCGTTCATTCATGAAAGGGCGGGTGGAGTAGAAGAGACTTCTCGGAGGGAAGTTAACGGGTGGAGCCAACAGGCTTTGCAAGGAGGTATGCAGCATATAGAATCCCCTCATTTGTGCTTCTGCCTGCCATTCAGCGAGCACATTCTCATATAACACCTCTCTGCCTTGCCCTCCTCCCATATCCCTCCGTACGTCTGCAGCACACGCCATGCCTCCAAGACTACACCCGTAGCACCCGAGCTTCTCGCATTCTCATAGCACCTCTCCGCTTCTCCCCTCTCCCCCACGCCCTTCCGCCTGTTCCCCATCACATGCCTACATGCCTCCATCCATCTCACCTGGGGAACGCCTTGAGCGCATGCCCATAGCACCTCGCCTGGGGAACGCCTTGAGCGCATGCCCATAGCACCTCACCTGGGGAACGCCTTGAGCGCATGCCCATAGCACCTCGCCTGGGGAACGCATGCCCATAGCACCTCACCTGGGGAACGCCTTGAGCGCATGCCCATAGCACCTCACCTGGGGAACGCCTTGAGCGCATGCCCATAGCACCTCGCCTGGGGAACGCATGCCCATAGCACCTCACCTGGGGAACGCCTTGAGCGCATGCCCATAGCACCTCGCCTGGGGAACGCATGCCCATAGCACCTCACCTGGGGAACGCCTTGAGCGCATGCCCATAGCACCTCACCTGGGGAACGCCTTGAGCGCATGCCCATAGCACCTCGCCTGGGGAACGCATGCCCATAGCACCTCACCTGGGGAACGCCTTGAGCGCATGCCCATAGCACCTCACCTGGGGAACGCCTTGAGCGCATGCCCATAGCACCTCGCCTGGGGAACGCATGCCCATAGCACCTCACCTGGGGAACGCCTTGAGCGCATGCCCATAGCACCTCACCTGGGGAACGCCTTGAGCGCATGCCCATAGCACCTCTCCGCCTCCGCCACCTCCCCCATGTCCCTCCGCACGTCCCCCAGCACGCGCCACGCCTCCCCCCGCTGCGGCTCTGCTCGCACCACGGCCTGCAGCGCTGCTGCTGCCTCTGACCGCACCCCATGTGGTACAACGCGTTGCCCTGAGGTAAGGTGTGGGGAAGAGGGGATGGGACGGAGGGGGGAGGAGGATTGTAGCAGCAGGGAGAGAGGCGAGCACACACCATGCCTCATGCTCCCTCTGACCGCCGTCCCATGTGGGAACTAGTGCGTTGACCTGGGTCAACGGGAATGGGATAACACGAACGCTGAGCAGCACTCCGCACACAGCAGCAGGATACACTGCTCCATGCCATGCCATGCCATGCCATGCCATGCCATGGAAATGTACTGTACCAGGAAGAGGCGGAGGGTGTGCTCGTGTGGGGAGTGGTGCAGTGCGGTGGTGAGGTCTGGAATGGCGTCCTTGAAAGCCCTGCGGTTCACACGAGCCATGCCTGCCATGTGAGGGTGGGGGCACGGGTGGGCATAGGTGGGCATGGGTGGTGCATGGGGATGGGATGGGGGATGCATGGGATGGATGGATGGTGCATGGGATGGCATGGGTGGCACATGGGAGGGCATGAAATGGTTGTTGGATGGGATATGCGATGCACAAAACACGGGATTATTGAAACATGCCACCTGAATAACACCATCAAATACTGTCTAAAATTCTGTAGGCCAATGCGGCATATGGTTGTGCACCATGGCACCGCACCGCACGGCACCATGGTTGTGGTGTTTCTCCCACCTCTCTCACGAATGGCAGCCACATTGCTGGGGTCGGCATCGATCATGGTCGTCCAGTCCGCTATGGCCTGCCACTGCACAGCACCATGGCACCGCACTGCACCGCACCGCACCATGGTGGTGCTGTTGCTCTCACCTCTCTCGCGGATGGCAGCAACATTATTCGGGTCGGCATCGATCATGGTCGTCCAGTCCGCTATGGCCTGCCATAACAGCACCACCACGGCACCATGTGGGTTGCACACATGCATGTGTTGCACCGAGTGCCATGGCATGGCATGGGTTGCACAGCACACACACGTTGCACACAAAAGGACAGGGGCATCAATTGTGGTAGTCCAGTCCGCTATGGCCTGCCATAACAGCACCATGGCATGGCATGGCATGGCATGGGTCGCACACACGCATTGCACTCAGCACCATGGCAAGGGATGCACACAAACATTGCACACAGCAGTACGCATCGGGCGCAATGGTACTCACTGCCCTCACAACCACTCTCCACTCCCATGAATGCACATCACAGGCCCGCCCAGCTCACCTCTGTGAATCGCTGCAGATTGAGGTGCGAGACGGCGCGGTGCTGCAGCAGGTGCTGGTAAAGGGGTAGATCCGAGGAGATGAGCCTGAGGGCGTGCCAGTGACTCACACGCTCCCTTGAATGCATATCGCTGCTCTTGCCTCACCTCTCTGAATTGCTGCAGCTTGAGGTGCGAGACGGCGCGGTGCTGCAGCAGGCTCTGGTAAATGGGTAGATCCGACGAGATGAGCTTCAACGCCTGCACAATGACACAGCCAGCCAACGAGCAGAGCAAGAAAGGCAAGCCAAGTGAAGTATGGGCGAGGCATGGCATGGTAAGAGGAGAGGAGCGGTGGTACAAGAGTTGGCTTTCTACAGTGACGCACCTTGGTGGTGAGGTCCGTGACACACCTTGGTGAGGTCAGCGACACATGGTAAGAGGAGGAGAGGAGCGGAGCGGTACACACCGTGGTGTTACCTTTCTACAGTGACACACCTTGATGAGGTCAGTGACACACCTTGGTGAGGTCAGTGACGCATGGTAAGAGGAGGAGAGGAGCGGTACACACCTTGGTGTTACCTTTCTACAGTCACGCACCTTGGTGAGGTCAGTGATTGCCATCTCAATAGCCTAAGGAGTCTGTCAGATTACCATCTTCATTGTAACCTGCATCATCATATAAGCTTTGACTAGAGATAGGCACCCAAACTTAGTTTGGGTGCACAACTAGGGTTTACCCTAGTTTGAGGTTGGAACCCAACCTTGGCCCAATTATTGGGCCCCCAAGGTTGGGTTGGGAGATTATTGGCCCCCCCAATAATGTTGGCATGGCTCCTACATCCTAGCTCAACTATGTAAACCCATGCCCTTCCTAATGAAACTATCGGTTGTTCTTACACTTTCTCACATGGTATTCAGAGCAACTACGGCTCACACCATCTCGATCCTAAGGACCGCACATACCGCGTGCTATATCACGCCCCCCTCTCTCACGCGACACTACGTCGCCCTTTGCGCCTAGTGCGCCCCTACGCCGTCACGGCCCCCCCCCCCCTTGCGCTAAATTTCAGCGCCCCCCTCCCTCCTTTCTACAGTCAATTCCGCCTCTCGCGGCTCTCCCCTCTCTCCCACTAACCCATCAACCGTCGGAACGGCCACGCCAACCGTCGGAACGATCTGCGCAACCGTCGGAACGACCAGCGCGACCGTCGGGACGGCCAGCACGAGCGACGGAACCCTAATCGCGGGCGGACGCCACACCCGCGACGAGCATCGGCGACCGCCGCGACCGACGAAACCCTAATCGCGGGCGGATGCCACACCCGCGACGAACGACGGCCGCGGACGCGACGAGAACGGGCGACCGCCGCGGACGCGACCAGCGGGGGCGGACGCCGCGGACGCGACCAGCGGGGGCGGACGCCGCGGACGCGACCAGCGGGGGCGGACGCCGCGGACGCGACCAGCGGGGGCGGACGCCGCGGACGCGACCAGCGCGGGCGGACGCCGCGGACGCGACCAGCGCGGGCGGACGCCGCGGACGCGACCAGCGAGGGCGGACGCCGCGGACGCGACCAGCGCGGGCGGACGCCGCGGACGCGACCAGCGAGGGCGGACGCCGCGGACGCGACCAGCGCGGGCGGACGCCGCGGACGCGACCAGCGCGGGCGGACGTCACGGACGCGACCAGCGAGGGCGACGCTGCGGACACGACCAGCGCATGCGGACGCCGCGGACGCGACCAGCGAGGGCGACCGCTGCGGACGCGTCCAGGAGCAGCCGCGTGTCGTCAAGGCACAGCTGCAGGCGACGAGGCGCAGCCGCGGGCGACGAGACGCAGCCGCGGGCGACAAGGGGCAGCCGCGGGTGACGAAGCGCTGCCGCACGCAACGTGACCGCGCCACCCCTCCAGGTGGTGTCGTCTTTGACCGCACCCGCCCTCCAGCCGGTGTCGTCACCCTCTCCCCCCCCCCCTCCTCCCCCCTCATGGCGGACGACTCTACTCCCATTGAACTCGGAGCTATCGATAAGCTCGAACTCCTCCATGACACTACGGCCGTGAACTGGGCGTCGTTTGAGGACACACTTCACACCCACCTTGGCTCTGTCATTGTTCAAGACTACTGTCTTCTTGATGTAGTTCTTGAGCACCCTAACGGCCTTCCACCCGTCCCCCCTCCTCCTCTTGAGCCTCCTCCTCCTGATGCCCCTCCTCCCCCAGAGCCTCTGTCTGATCCCCCTCGTGCCCCAGTTCATGATGACAACCCAGATCGATGGGCGGCCAACTTGAACAACTACAACAAGCTTCGCGATGCCTACACCATCCAGCGTGAGGCGCACCGTGCTGCTGAGAAGGCTCACGCTGATGCTACTGCGCGTATCCTCTCCTACGCACAGGATGAAAAAGACTATGCTGATGAACTTCGCAAGTTCAACAAGGATACTGCAGCATGGCGAATTGCGGATCGCCGCGCTCTAGCCATTATCTTCTCCTGCATCCCTTCCCATCTCAAACGTGACCTCCGCCCCACCTCCTCCTCTGGCCTCTGGAAAACCCTGTCCACTCAGTACGACCGACAGGACCTTCGCTCTCTCCTTGCTCTCTTTCGCAAATTTCAAGACACCACTCTTGACTCATCCCCCACTGCTGCTGCCTTCACTCGGCGCCTCATCGACACTGCGCAACGTCTCAACGACCGCGGCATTGTCATTCATGAATCACTTCTCACTGCACGCATCCTCGACTGCCTTCCACCCACATACGATACCTACCGCATCACCTTTACCTCTAGGTACCGCCATCCTCCTCCTGTGGCCGACACAATCGACTGGCTCCTTGACAGCGAAGCGGACATCCAACGTGACTCCACCACCATCAATGCTATCCAGGCTCGCAAAACTCCCGCAGGCAACCACAGCAGCGGCGGAGGTAGCGGCTCAAGCGGTACTGGCGGTGGCGGTGGTGGACGAGGTGGTGGGCGAGGCGGTGGACGCGGTGGTGGTCGTGGTGGCGGCCGTGGTGGGCGTGGCAAAAACCCCTCTCCCTCGGGTACCCTTCCCCCGTGTCAGTACATCATTCGCTATGGCTCCAACAAAGGTCAGCCTTGCGCTCAAACCACTCACACCACTGACACGTGCTTCAAAGCCCTCACTGATGAGTGGTTTGCACGTGGCAATGTCGGCACCCCACCTCGATGGAACACCATCTTCCCGCGCCCCTCTCTCCATGACATACGCACTCTCCCCGCCTATCAACCCTCCACCCCTAATCTTCACAATGTCCTCACTGAGCATCTCCCACCTCATATCCTCCAGCAAGTTCAACATCTTCTCCCTTCATCTCCTCCCACTCCCACCCCTCCCACCCCTCCCACCCCTCCCATTCCCCCTTCACCCACACCTCCTCCTCAAGCCCCTCCCCCCCACTATCCTCCGCCCTATACCGGCTGGCCATACCCTCCTTATCCACCTCCTCAATACGGCCCTGTGCTTCCTCCACCTGCTACCACTCCTACTGACCAGCCCTCCTCCTCCTCCAATCCTCCTGGCTTCACTCCGTTCCCTTCTGCTGGATTCATAGGACATGTTAGCACTGCTTCTCCTGCTCCTTCAATGTATGCCCATGCTATTAATGAGACATCCTTCCAGTATTCCGCTTCTTCCTCCTCCTCTACACTCCTTGAGTTCATTCTTGACAGCGGCGCTACACACACTGTCCTTCGGGACGCAGGCACACTAGTCCCCCTCCCCACTCCCTCCACCATTTACGGAGCCGACTTCAGCTTCACCATCACAAGTCGACACACCTCCACTCTCCCCTGCCCCATCTTCCCCTCAGGCACAGTCACAGGTCTACACGTCCCCTCCCTACGCAACAATCTGGTAGCACTTCGTGACCTCCCAAGGTTAGGTGTCACCGCCATCTTCCCCGGACATGCACTTCACTGCGACCTCTTTCACACCATCACTGGTCGCTTCATCTGTCGTATTCCCCTCTGCCCACACACAAACCTGTACACATACCGCACCCCTCGCCCCTCCATCCACCAACTCACCACTCCCACCTTACTTCCCCCTCACTCCCTTCCCCCCTCCCCTCTCCCCCCCCTCCTCCCCTCCCCTTCTTCCCCCCTTCCCTCCCCTCCCTCCCCCCCTCCTCTTGCCTCCCCTCCCCCTCCCTCCTCCCCCTCCCCTCCCTCCTCCCCCTCCCCTCCCTCCTCCCCCTCCTGTCACTGTCGTGACCTTACCCATCCTGCCGTCCTCCTTCCCCATCGCTTGGGTCATCCCAACTTTGCCACCCTTCGTCAATCTGTCTCCTCTCAACTTCTTGAAGGACTTCCCCTCACCCTCCCCCCTCCCTCCCCCCGTCGCCCTCCCCTCCCTGCTCAGTTTGCGTTGAAAGCAAACTAAAGCAAGCCCCCCACAAGAGTCATCCCTCCTTCTCTCCCCAACCCATTGATCTCGTCCACATGGACCTCTGGGGCCCCAATCCCACCCCCACCAGGCAAGGTCATCGCTACCTGCTCATACTGGTAGATGACCACAGTCGGTACTCCACTGTCTCTCTCCTTCGCAAGAAGGCGGAGGCCCCGGCTGCCATTATTGCCTGGGCTGAACAAGCACGCACCCATTTCAAACGCCCTGTCTCTCGCTTCCATTCCGATGGCGGCGGTGAGTTCCTTAACCGGATGCTTTCCTCCTACTGCTCCACCCATGGCATTATCCACACCTACACCCTTCCTCATTCCCCTCAGCAAAATGGTGTGGCGGAGAGCAGGGTTCGGGAGGTCACCAAGACCGCTCGATGCCTCATGGTCCATGCCTCCTGCCCGCCTTCTCTGTGGGGTTATGCTATCCTCCACGCCGCCATCCTCACTAATCTCTACCCCCATCCCTCACGGCCCACCACTACTCCCACCGAACTCTGGACCTCCACTAAACCCGACATCTCCCCCCTGCGCGTGTGGGGCTCCAAGGCGTATGTTCTCATACACCCTGAGGACCGTTCACGTGCAGCTGGGAAACTTGCCTCCCGCACCCTCCCTTGCATCTTCATTGGTCATAACCCCACCTCCCCGGACTACCTCTTCCTCCACCCCCCCTCAGGTCGTCTCATTCGTAGTCGGGATGTGGTTTTTGATGAAGCCACTCCGTACTACACCTCCCCCTCCGCCCCTAACCCCCTCCCCCTCACCATACGTCCTCTCCTCTGGACTGACACTGTCATCACCCCTCCCCTTCAACCTCCCCCCACCCTGGTCATACCCGCACCCCCACCCCCCCCCCCCTCTCTCCCAACCTCCTCAGGGGACATCCTTGACCCGGCTGCCCCACCTTCCCCTTCCGCTGTAACTCCCTCTCCCCCCACTGACCCTCCCCCTCTCCCCGCTGACCCCCCCCTCCCTCCCCACCCCCTCCCCCTCCCTCCCCATCCCCTCCCCCCCTGAACTCTCCCCCACCCCCTTCCCCCTCCCAACCTCCACCCTCCCCATCTCCTCCTCCGCCCCCTCCCCCTCCACCATCTCGGCCCTTACTTTCGTCCCCTCCTCTGCTCCTTCGTCACTACCCTCACACCCGCTCCACAGTCCCCATCCTTGGTCGGGTCCAATCACCTCTCCCTCCAGTCTCTCACATCCATTCCACTCCTCCACCACTCTAGCACTTCCCCACTCCCCCGCACCAGCCCCTCAGGTTCTCACACCAGCCGCGCTCCCGTCTCCCTGCCCCTCACGGCAACTCAGCGCAGCAGAGCAGCATTGCAGCTGTCTCCTCGCCCCGACCCTCGGCGCAGCAGAGCAGCAGTGCAGCCGTGTTCCCGCTCCAGCCTGACCCTCCAGCGCAGCTGTCTTGCATCTTCACCGCCTCCTCTTCCTCCTCCTCTCTCTCCGGACCTCTATGAAGACTCTCATGATGAACTCCTTTTCCTCCACCTCCTCTCACCCACCATCGCCCCTGTCGTCCGCACCATGGCTGGTACTACGGTCCTTCTTTTCTCCAACACCCCCACCATCTACGAACCCACCACCTACGAGCAAGCAATTGCATGTCTTGACGCACCTCTCTGGATCGAGGCCATGGTCAAGGAATGCAACGCCTTCATCCACAACCGCTCTTTCCTCGACGTCCCTCGCCCCTCCAAGCACAACGTGGTCAAAGGCAGGTGGCTCTTCCGAGTAAAACTACTCCCTGGTGAAGCTCCTGTCTACAAGGCTCGGTATGTGGCGAAAGGCTTTACACAGACTTATGGCTCGGACTTCTTCGAGACCTACTCACCTACCGCCACTCCGCCGGTCATTCGCGTGTTTCTGGACTTCGTTGGCAGACGCGGGATGCTCCTCCACTCCATGGATGTCACCACGGCCTTCTTACAAGGCGACCTCCACGAACTCATCTTCTTGGAACGTCCCAAGGGCTTCCACGCTCCTCACGACCCTGCCACCGTCTGGAAACTACTACGCCCTGTTTACGGGCTCAAACAAGCACCTCGAGAATGGCACGCCAAACTCTCATCCACCCTTCGCGCACTTGGCTTTCGCCCCTCCCGTGCTGCCTCTTGCCTCTTCCTTCGCTTAACTCCGTCACCCTTCTTCATCCTCGTCTACGTCGACGACATGCTGCTAGCAGCTGAGACAGCTGCTGAACTTCAGGAGGTCAAGGATGAGCTGCAGCAACGTCTCGCCTGCAAAGATCTGGGGGAAGTCCGCAACTACCTTGGCATGGAGATCACCCGCGACCTCACTGCCAAGACTATCACCCTCTCTCAGTCATTCTACATCGGGAAGGTGCTCGAGAGATTCGGCATGTCCAAATCCAAACCCATCCCCACACCACTTGCATTCGGGCATCGGCTGTCCCCTCCAGCCACTCCTGTCACCTCCCCTCATCCCTATGCAGAACTCGTTGGGGCCCTGATGTACGCCATGGTCTGCACTCGTCCCGACCTTGCATACCCCGTCAGTGTCCTGGCGCGGTTTGTTGGCACTGGCAGGCATGGTGAGGAGCACTGGAAGGCGGCCATGCGTGTTCTGCGCTACCTCCAAGGCACAAAGGACTATGGCCTCACGCTTGGTGGTGTGGACCCACCTGTTCTTCAAGGCTTCAGTGACTCATCTTGGGCGGATGCACAGCCGGACCATCGCAGTTCTCAAGGATATGGCTTCTCCCTTGGGAGCGGCCTCATCAGCTGGCGCTCCACTCGCTCCTCCTCCGTCGCCCTCTCCTCCTGCGAAGCCGAGCTGTACGCAGTCACCATGGCGGCTCAAGAGGCACGCTGGCTTAGCTATCTTCTCACCGACCTTGGCTCACCACAGCCCTGCCCCACCCTGTGGTGTGACAACGATAGTACCATCCACCTCACCAAGGAGGCCGTCTTTCATGGTCGCTCCAAACACATCGAACTCCGCTACTACTTTGTCCGCGATCTTGTGCAAGATGGTCACATCACTGTTCGTAAAATCGACTCGTCCGCCAACCTCGCTGACCTCTTCACCAAGGCTCTCCATCGCTCTAACCACTCTGCGCTCCTGCGCCTTCAGGGACTTGCTCCCCGCGGTGGCTGATTCAGGGGTTGTTGCGTTCTCTCTTCCAAAGCCTATGGATTTCTGCAGGTTAAGGGGTTGTGTCAGATTACCATCTTCATTGTAACCTGCATCATCATATAAGCTTTGACTAGAGATAGGCACCCCTTTGACTAGAGATAGGCACCCAAACTTAGTTTGGGTGCACAACTAGGGTTTACCCTAGTTTGAGGTTGGAACCCAACCTTGGCCCAATTATTGGGCCCCCAAGGTTGGGTTGGGAGATTATTGCCCCCCCCCAATAATGTTGACCCACTTTTGGTCAACATTATTGGTCCCCCCAATAACTCCTCAACCCAACTTATTGGTGGGGGCCAATAATGTTGGCATGGCTCCTACATCCTAGCTCAACTATGTAAACCCATGCCCTTCCTAATGAAACTATCAGTTGTTCTTACACTTTCTCATAGAGTCACCTCGTTACAGTCACACACCTTGGTGAGGTCGGTGATTGCCATCTCAATAGCCTAAGGAGTCACCTCGTTACAGTCACACACCTTGGTGAGGTCAGCGATGGCCTGCGTGTGGCGGCCTGTGAGGGCGTTGGCCGCCCCCCTCCACGCCAGCAGCCCTGCCGACTCCTCCTCGCCCTGCTCCTCCAGCTGGTAGGAATTGGAGGGGAGGAGACGGGTGAGGAAGTGAGGGGGCGCGGGGTGTGTTGGGGGGACGGTCAAGTCTGGTGAGGGAGTTAGCCGCCCCCTCCACGCCAGCAGCCCTGGCGACTCCTCCTCTCCCTGCTCCTCCAGCTGGTGACATTGGGATGGGAGGACAGCAGGTGAGGGGAGGGGAGGAGGTGAGGAGCGGATATGAGGGGACGGCAATGGCCCTTCCACGGGAGCAACCCTGCTGACTCCTCCTACTGACTCCTCCTCGCCCTGCTCCTCCAGCTGGCGGGATTTGGACGGGAGGAAGCAGGTGAGGGGAAGGGAGCAGGTGAGGGGAGGAAGCAGGTGAGGGGAAGGGAGCAGGTGAGGGGAGGAAGCAGGTGAGGGGAAGGGAGCAGGTGAGGGGAGGAAGCAGGTGAGGGGAAGGGAGCAGGTGAGGGGAGAAAGCACGTGAGGGGAAGGGAGCAGGTGATGGGAGGAAGCAGGTGAGGGGAAGGGAGCAGGTGAGGGGAGGAAGCAGGTGAGGGGAAGGGAGCAGGTGAGGGGAGGAAGCAGGTGAGGGGAAGGGAGCAGGTGAGGGGAGGAAGCAGGTGAGGGGAAGGGAGCAGGTGAGGGGAGGAAGCAAGCAGGTGAGGGGAAGGGAGCAGGTGAGGGGAGGAAGCAAGCAGGTGAGGGGAAGGAGCAGGTGAGGGGAGGAAGCAGGTGAGGGGAAGGGAGCAGGTGAGGGGAGGAAGCAGGTGAGGGGAAGGGAGCAGGTGAGGGGAGGAAGCACGTGAGGGGAAGGGAGCAGGTGAGGGGAGGAAGCAGGTGATGGGAAGGGAGCAGGTGAGGGGAGGAAGCAAGTGAGGGGAAGGGAGCAGGTGAGGGGAGGAAGCAGGTGAGGGGAAGGGAGCAGGTGAGGGGAGAAAGCACGTGAGGGGAAGGGAGCAGGTGATGGGAGGAAGCAGGTGAGGGGAAGGGAGCAGGTGAGGGGAGGAAGCAGGTGAGGGGAAGGGAGCAGGTGAGGGGAGGAAGCAGGTGAGGGGAAGGGAGCAGGTGAGGGGAGGAAGCAGGTGAGGGGAAGGGAGCAGGTGAGGGGAGGAAGCAAGCAGGTGAGGGGAAGGGAGCAGGTGAGGGGAGGAAGCAAGCAGGTGAGGGGAAGGGAGCAGGTGAGGGGAGGAAGCAGGTGAGGGGAAGGGAGCAGGTGAGGGGAGGAAGCAGGTGAGGGGAAGGGAGCAGGTGAGGGGAGGAAGCACGTGAGGGGAAGGGAGCAGGTGAGGGGAGGAAGCAGGTGAGGGGAAGGGAGCAGGTGAGGGGAGGAAGCAGGTGAGGGGAAGGGAGCAGGTGAGGGGAGGAAGCAGGTGAGGGGAAGGGAGCAGGTGAGGGGAGGAAGCAGGTGAGGGGAAGGGAGCAGGTGAGGGGAGGAAGCAGGTGAGGGGAAGGGAGCAGGTGAGGGGAGGAAGCAGGTGAGGGGAAGGGAGCAGGTGAGGGGAGGAAGCAGGTGAGGGGAAGGGAGCAGGTGAGGGGAGGAAGCAGGTGAGGGGAAGGGAGCAGGTGAGGGGAGGAAGCAGGTGAGGGGAAGGGAGCAGGTGAGGGGAGGAAGCAGGTGAGGGGAGGAAGCAGGTGAGGGGAGGGAGCAGGTGAGGGGAGGGAAGCAGGTGAGGGGAGGAAGCAGGTGAGGGAAGGGAGCAGGTGAGGGGAGGAAGCAGGTGAGGGGAAGGGAGCAGGTGAGGGGAGGAAGCAGGTGAGGGGAGGAAGCAGGTGAGGGGAGGGAGCAGGTGAGGGGAAGGGAGCAGGTGAGGGGAGGAAGCAGGTGAGGGGAAGGGAGCAGGTGAGGGGAAGGGAGCAGGTGAGGGGAAGGGAGCAGGTGAGGGGAGGAAGCAGGTGAGGGGAAGGGAGCAGTTGAGGGGAAGGGAGCAGGTGAGGGGAAGGGAGCAGGTGAGGGGAAGGGAGCAGGTGAGGGGAGGAAGCAGGTGAGGGGAGGGGAGCAGGTGAGGGGAGGAAGCAGGTGAGGGGAAGGGAGCAGGTGAGGGGAGGAAGCAGGTGAGGGAAGGGAGCAGGTGAGGGGAGGAAGCAGGTGAGGGGAAGGGAGCAGGTGAGGGGAGGAAGCAGGTGAGGGGAAGGGAGCAGGTGAGGGGAGGAAGCAGGTCAGGGGAAGGAGCAGGTGAGGGGAAGGGAGCAGGTGAGGGGAGGAAGCAGGTGAGGGGAAGGGAGCAGGTGAGGGGAGGAAGCAGGTGAGGGGAAGGGAGCAGGTGAGGGGAGGAAGCAGGTGAGGGGAAGGGAGCAGGTGAGGGGAGGAAGCAGGTGAGGGGAAGGGAGCAGGTGAGGGGAGGAAGCAGGTGAGGGGAGGAAGCAGGTGAGGGGAGGGAGCAGGTGAGGGGAGGGGAGCAGGTGAGGGGAGGAAGCAGGTGAGGGGAAGGGAGCAGGTGAGGGGAGGAAGCAGGTGAGGGGAAGGGAGCAGGTGAGGGGAGGAAGCAGGTGAGGGGAGGAAGCAGGTGAGGGGAGGGAGCAGGTGAGGGGAAGGGAGCAGGTGAGGGGAGGAAGCAGGTGAGGGGAAGGGAGCAGGTGAGGGGAAGGGAGCAGGTGAGGGGAAGGGAGCAGGTGAGGGGAGGAAGCAGGTGAGGGGAAGGGAGCAGTTGAGGGGAAGGGAGCAGGTGAGGGCAAGGGAGCAGGTGAGGGGAGGAAGCAGGTGAGGGGAAGGGAGCAGGTGAGGGGAGGAAGCAGGTGAGGGGAAGGGAGCAGGTGAGGGGAGGAAGCACGTGAGGGGAAGGGAGCAGGTGAGGGGAGGAAGCACGTGAGGGGAAGGGAGCAGGTGAGGGGAGGAAGCAGGTGAGGGGAAGGGAGCAGGTGAGGGGAGGAAGCAGGTGAGGGGAAGGGAGCAGGTGAGGGGAGGAAGCAGGTGAGGGGAGGAAGCAGGTGAGGGGAGGGAGCAGGTGAGGGGAAGGGAGCAGGTGAGGGGAGGAAGCAGGTGAGGGGAAGGGAGCAGGTGAGGGGAAGGGAGCAGGTGAGGGGAAGGGAGCAGGTGAGGGGAGGAAGCAGGTGAGGGGAAGGGAGCAGTTGAGGGGAAGGGAGCAGGTGAGGGGAAGGGAGCAGGTGAGGGGAAGGGAGCAGGTGAGGGGAGGAAGCAAGTGAGGGGAAGGGAGCAGGTGAGGGGAGGAAGCAGGTGAGGGGAAGGGAGCAGGTGAGGGGAGGAAGCAGGTGAGGGGAAGGGAGCAGGTGAGGGGAGGAAGCAGGTGAGGGGAAGGGAGCAGGTGAGGGGAGGAAGCAGGTGAGGGGAAGGGAGCAGGTGAGGGGAGGAAGCAGGTGAGGGGAGGAAGCAGGTGAGGGGAGGGAGCAGGTGAGGGGAGGGGAGCAGGTGAGGGGAGGAAGCAGGTGAGGGGAAGGGAGCAGGTGAGGGGAGGAAGCAGGTGAGGGGAAGGGAGCAGGTGAGGGGAGGAAGCAGGTGAGGGGAGGAAGCAGGTGAGGGGAGGAGCAGGTGAGGGGAAGGGAGCAGGTGAGGGGAGGAAGCAGGTGAGGGGAAGGGAGCAGGTGAGGGGAAGGGAGCAGGTGAGGGAAGGGAGCAGGTGAGGGGAGGAAGCAGGTGAGGGGAAGGGAGCAGTTGAGGGGAAGGGAGCAGGTGAGGGGAAGGGAGCAGGTGAGGGGAAGGGAGCAGGTGAGGGGAGGAAGCACGTGAGGGGAAGGGAGCAGGTGAGGGGAGGAAGCAGGTGAGGGGAGGAAGCAGGTGAGGGGAGGGAGCAGGTGAGGGGAAGGGAGCAGGTGAGGGGAGGAAGCAGGTGAGGGGAAGGGAGCAGGTGAGGGGAAGGGAGCAGGTGAGGGGAAGGGAGCAGGTGAGGGGAGGAAGCAGGTGAGGGGAAGGGAGCAGTTGAGGGGAAGGGAGCAGGTGAGGGGAAGGGAGCAGGTGAGGGGAAGGGAGCAGGTGAGGGGAGGAAGCAAGTGAGGGGAAGGGAGCAGGTGAGGGGAGGAAGCAGGTGAGGGGAAGGGAGCAGGTGAGGGGAGGAAGCACGTGAGGGGAAGGGAGCAGGTGAGGGGAGGAAGCAGGTGAGGGGAAGGGAGCAGGTGAGGGGAGGAAGCAGGTGAGGGGAAGGGAGCAGGTGAGGGGAGGAAGCAGGTGAGGGGAAGGGAGCAGGTGAGGGGAGGAAGCAGGTGAGGGAAAGGGAGCAGGTGAGGGGAGGAAGCAGGTGAGGGCAAGGGAGCAGGTGAGGGGAGGAAGCAGGTGAGGGGAAGGGAGCAGGTGAGGGGAGGAAGCAGGTGAGGGGAAGGGAGCAGGTGAGGGGAGGAAGCAGGTGAGGGGAAGGGAGCAGGTGAGGGGAGGAAGCAGGTGAGGGGAAGGGAGCAGGTGAGGGGAGGAAGCAGGTGAGGGGAAGGGAGCAGGTGACGGGAGGAAGCAGGTGAGGGGAAGGGAGCAGGTGAGGGGAGGAAGCAGGTGAGGGTAAGGGAGCAGGTGAGGGGAGGAAGCAGGTGAGGGGAAGGGAGCAGGTGAGGGGAGGAAGCAGGTGAGGGGAAGGGAGCAGGTGAGGGGAGGAAGCAGGTGAGGGGAAGGGAGCAGGTGAGGGGAGGAAGCAGGTGAGGGGAAGGGAGCAGGTGAGGGGAGGAAGCAGGTGAGGGGAAGGGAGCAGGTGAGGGGAGAAAGCAGGTGAGGTTAAGGGAGCAGGTGAGGGGAGGAAGCAGGTGAGGGGAAGGGAGCAGGTGAGGGGAGGAAGCAGGTGAGGGGAAGGGAGCAGGTGAGGGGAGAAAGCAGGTGAGGGGAAGGGAGCAGGTGAGGGGAAGGGAGCAGGTGAGGGGAGGAAGCAGGTGAGGGGAAGGGAGCAGGTGAGGGGAGGAAGCAGGTGAGGGGAAGGGAGCAGGTGAGGGGAGGAAGCAGGTGAGGGGAAGGGAGCAGTTGAGGGGAAGGGAGCAGGTGAGGGGAAGGGAGCAGGTGAGGGGAAGGGAGCAGGTGAGGGGAGGAAGCAGGTGACGGGAGGGGAGCAGGTGAGGGGAGGAAGCAGGTGAGGGGAAGGGAGCAGGTGAGGGGAGGAAGC